GTTTGAAGTTGTTGAGGCCAGCCGTGAAGTATGTCAACGTCCATTGTCCCGAAAGATGCTGTAAGTAGATTCTCCTGTTTGATTTCGTGTACTGTGCTACAGTGATAATAAAACTCGTGAAATGTGCCGCGCTGGTGTCAACCGTTGTTTTAGAAGGTCCGTGTGACCGTGAAGAGCAGAGATCATGTCTGCTTTGATTGTGCTGTGAACCTCTAGAACATCAGAGCCAGGTGGTTAACTCTGCACCAGAGATATCCAGAGACATCTTAATGTCAGCCTAGGTTTTTTACACATCTTAATGGTATGGAGCCTAGGAACAGTCTAAGATCAATAGCCACGGGACACAAAATTTTCTGTGAGAAGCAAAGAACCTCCAGAAAATAAACACACATATTGAGTTCGGTTATTGACAATAAAATTACAGCTGCAGGGTTGAAACCAGCGCGGTGACTATTAAAAGCTTTTGTAAGGTGAGAGCGTTTCTTCTTCTTCCCTCCACGTCCTTATTCTTCTTCCACTCCTTCTCATTCTACTGTGCCTTTTCTGCTTCCTAATTCTTCTACAAATTCTCCACATTCTTCGTTGTCTTCTTTTCATTCTTTATCTTTTATTCCTCCAGCCTCCCTTTCACCTATCTCTTTTTTCCCCCCATTTCTTCTCCTCCTTTTTATTACTTGTCTTTTTATTCTTCCCCCACGCCTTCTTCCTCTTCTTTGTTTTCTCATCCTCCTCCTTATTATCCTTTATTATCTTCTCCTCCTCTGTATTCTCTTCCATTGTCTTCTCTTACTCCTTTTCTTATTTTTTGTCTTTTCCTTCACTGTCTTGTCCTCCTCCTTCCTCTTCCTGTGTTTTCTCCTCCACCTTATTCTTCTCCTCCACCTTTCTTATCTTCATTGTTTTCTCTGCCCCTTCTTATTCTCCTCCTCTTCCTTTTTCTTCTTCCTTGTCTTCTCATCTTCTCATTCCCCTCCTTTGTCTTATCTGCCTCCTTCTTATTCCTCATCATTTTCTCCTTCTCCTATTTTTAGGCATCCACTTGAATATATATATATGCAAAGAAAGAATAAGTAACCTGAAGTAGTTGGCATCAAAGAACTTGTCTCCACAAGTTGCTGGTGTAAAGCCAACGTACTGGTCTCTACTCTGTATATGTTGTACATTCATTCCAGCAACATATGCTGTACAGTTCAGCAGCGAATGTTTAGCAGTTATTGTTATCGATTTACTAAAGACAGCAGACTGGTGAATGATAACATTCAGCAGCCCGACTTGATGAACCATGCTTGCAGGGTCAGCCAAGGCTCAGCCATGCTTGCAGGGTCAGCCATGCTTGCAGTTCAGCCATGCTTGCAGTGTCAGCCAAGGGCCAGACATGCTTGCTGGGTCAGCCATGCTTGCTGGGTCAGCCATGTTTGCATGGGTGCACGGAATCGCTACAGAAGGTACGCCTCCATACAGCACAAGTAATCAAACAGCGATTCCCCCTGAGCTGCTTGTTGTGCACTCTGCTAGATACTGGCCAGGCAAACCTAAGTGTGCCGATTAGCTTTAGCTCACTGGTTTTCAATTTTTTTCAGGCGGATCCTCTTGGATATACGGCAAGACCCCCCCCCCCCCCCCCCCCAACCTTTTATATTAAAGCCCTATCACAGCTGCTGGACTTCATGTTACTTTTTAACTGTCATCGCAGGCCCTAATATAAACTTATGGCTGAATTTGGTTTCTGGGACCTTTACTTGAAGGATTGCTGAATGCTGGTACTTTGTGTCACCGGGTGTTACTGATGATTGTGTGGTCTAGTGGGATTAAATGTCACTTACCCCGCCCCCAACCCACTTTACAAAAAAAAAAAGTTATTAAAAAAGAAATTTCCCAAGCACTATTAACAAGAACTTGAACAAAATCCACATAAATCCAAGTGTCGAAAAACACAAACATCCTTAGCTTTTCATTTAAGATAAAGTTTTTAAAAATATTTAATTCACAATTAAAAATTTTTTTTTGTTTTTTAGTATCCAGAAGCCATGAGTCGTTTGTTAACCCTTAGGCTCGGTATTATGGATATCGCAACCCTTCGGCCTTGATTCCATGATAAATACCATAAATCTCTGAGAAATGTGGTGGCTTTTCTGCCTACCCCCGGGCGTGAACCCGGACCACAAGGAATTCATCACCCGAATGTCATTATAGCTTATTCTCACAAGTACACATGAACTCAGTTTTAAATTGAAAACCACTGCATCACGTAGTTGCACGAAGAATCACATTTGTGTCAGATGATGAGAAAGTGGATAGAAATGCTAACAAGAAAATAAAATATTCAAAACAATGTCTTCCCATTATGAATTTAAATAATGTGTGCACAAAAATGATAGCATTGCATAATTAATCGGCTGGCATTTTTTTGTTGTATTTCTTCTGGTGAATTACAACAGCCAGGCAATCCTGCTTTATGTAAACAAAAGGTTCATGTTACTGATCTTAGATGTCCATGATAATGAAGTGGTGAATTTATAACAAGAGACACTGTGATCTGGGTATTTCGGGTGAAACGCTTCACAGTTGGTGCTTCATTATATATTGAAATACAATATCTTTAGCAATACACTTGATATAGCAAAATATGATAGATATGTTGCTTAACTAACTTTGTTAAAACAGTTAGTTGAGTATCCTTTTAGAGCGTTTTTTGGCTGTAGTGGTTTTTCTAGTCAAATTTACATTGCTTTCTGGATGATCGGCTTCTCAATGCCACTGTTGAAACCAAATCAAGGTGCAAGGCCTACAGCTGGGATCAAACCTGGCACCCAGGCATTACAAAGAGTGTTCGCAACGCTTAAGCCAGTGAGATGTAACAGAAGATAAGACACAGTGACATCTGACAGGCAATGCAACATCTGACTGAGGATATGACACAGTGGCATATAAGAGAAGATATGACACACTGACATTTGACAGAAGATATACCATAGTGATAACTGATGGAATATTGAGATGGTGACATCTGACAAAAGATATGACCCAGTGACATATAAGTGAAGATGTAAAACAGTGACACCTAAAAGATGTAAAGCAGTGACATATGACATAGGATGTGTCATAGAAAAGAAGATGTAAAATTGACATCTGACAGAGGGTATGACATAGTGAGATCTGACAGAAGATATGGTTCAGTGACAACTGCCTCTGACAGAAGATATGACAGTGATATCTGACAGAAAATATGACATAATGACAGCTGATATAGGATATAACACAGTGACATCTAACAAAAGATATGATACAGTGACATCAGATAGAAGATATGACACAGTGACATCTGATTTAAGATATGACACAGTGACATCTGATTGAAGATATGACACAGTGACACCTGACTGACGATATGACAGTGACACCTGACTGACGATATGACACAGTGACATCTGATTGGAGATATGACACAGTGACATCTGATTGGAGATATGACACAGTGAAATTTGACAGAAAATATGACATGGTGACAGCTGATGGAAGCTATAACACAGTGACATTTGACAGAAAATATGACATGGTGACAGCTGATGGAAGCTATAACACAGTGATATTTGACAGAAAATATGACATGGTGACAGCTGATGGAAGCTATAACACAGTGACATTTGACAGAAAATATGACATGGTGACAGCTGATGGAAGCTTTAACACATGACATTTGACAGAAAATAAGACATGGTGACATCTGACAGAGCGGAGTATGTGGCTTAGGCGTTGCGAGTCCGACTCGTAATCCAACGAACCGCGATCGAAACCCACTGCTGGCTGAGTGGATTTTTATCATGGTATGGGGCTTCGCAGGTAGACCCGGCCTAAAATGGGTACCAGGATGGCTGTCCTGGGAAAGTAAAGACAGCCGGCATAATGCTGACCACAGTACCCACCCAGTGCCGATTGGTCTGTAAAAATATGGGATGCTCTTCCCATATGCACGATGCTCCTAAGGAGTGAAAAGGGATCTTTACTTTTTACTTACTTTACATCTGACAGAAGATATGACACAGTGACATTTGACAGAAGATATGACATGGTGACAGCTGATGGAAGCTATAACACAGTGACATTTGACAGAAAATATGACATGGTGACAGCTAATGGAAGCTATAACACAGTGACATTTGACAGAAAATATGACATGGTGACAGCTGATGGAAGCTATAACACAGTGACATTTGTCAGAAAATATGACATTGCGACAGCTGATGGAAGCTATAACACAGTGACATTTGACAGAAAATATGACATGGTGACATCTGACAGAAGATATGACACGGTGACATTTGACAGAAAATATGACATGGTGACAGCTGATGGAAGCTATAACACAGCGATATCTAAAGCTAAAGTCAAGAGAATGGACTTCACTAAACCCAGTTATCACATACAGCTCACTCTCTCCTCACAGCAGCTAGCAGCCAGCTAAGATCATTGCACAAAGCATGAACTCCACAGCTATAGCAACCATTCCAAGGTATCTCTGTAAATTTCAACTCGTGAACTGAATGACACTTCTTTAAATTAAACCCTGTTTGATAGATAAAATATAAACACTGTGGGTCCAGAGACCCACACTAACAGGGCCGAATGTAAGACAGGCTTGTGTGCCTAATGTGCGACCCTTTAAAACTTTGTTCATTTATTCGTTCATACAGATGTGAATGCTAGGCAATAAATATATGAAATGGTGAAGAAACAGCTGATCAAACAAATGAAGAAGGATTTAGAGGAGAAGGAAAGATGAAGAGGGAGGAGGAAAGAATAGGGGAGATAAAACGAAGGACGAGGAAAGAAGAGGAGAACAGTGAGAAAGGGAGATGCAGAGGAACACAGAGGAGTCAAAGATGAGGAAGAAGCTGAGGAAGAGGGAGGGGGTAGTGGAAGAAGAAAAGGGAGAAGAAGAAAAGAGGGGAAATGAAGTGAATGTTACAAAAAAAATAATGGAAGGAAGAAGACTCACTTACCTACTGCTGGTGGATCATATGAATCTCCAAGAAGGATCTCTGGGGCAGAGTAAGCCAGAGACCCACACGAAGTCTCCAGTTTTTTACCTGGGGCAAAGACATTACTGAACCCAAAATCCGTTAATTTAACAATTCCAAGCTTGTTGAAAAACACCACATTTTCCGGCTTGAGATCCCTGTGCACTACATGTAGCCTATGACAATAAAGTATTGCTTCCACGATCTGGCGAAAATATTTTCTAGCCAACGTTTCGTCTAAGCCTTTATCATGTTTCATAATATAATCATACATATCCCCGTCTCCCAATTCTAAGATTAAGTACAGCTTAGTCTGAGTATCAATAACTTCGTATAAGCGAACCACATGAGGATGTTGCACCAATTTCATACACCTGACTTCTTGAAAAAGATGTGCCCGCGATACCTCATCAAGTTTTTGTTTATCAATAACTTTCACAGCCACTTTCTCGCCGGTAAAAACATGCCTAGCCAGTTTAACCACAGCAAAGTGTCCATGGCCTATCGTTTCTTCCAAGTTATACAATCCAGCAATTTTGCCGTCGTAGCCGCTTTTCTTTTTCCCCGCCATTCTAAAAAGGCGCGGGAGAGAATGGATATTGGAATTTGCGTTAAATATACATGATAATCGAACCTAGTGATGAATATTTCTGCAGATTATAACAAAAACATATTCGTGTTGTGCCCATGATCCCTAGCGGAGTATGTCGGCTGCCATGATGGCTCAATGTTTACACGGCGCAGGATCATTGCGCATGACGTGCGGGTCACATGACCACACATTTCGCCAAAACTTCTACTCTTTACTTCTCTGACACTGTTTCTACTTGCTCTTTTTTCCTTTTATCTCCTTATAGAGTATAGTCAGGGCTTTTTTTTTTAACAAAAAGAGGAGCCGGTACCCACTTTTTCTTCTTCTTTTGTCAAAATCTGCTTGCGCCGCTAGGCGTCGCAGTCTATCAGATGATCGGCAACCGAGCCAGGGCGCGCTCAGTCGCTTCATATGCCGTGATGTTATGAAGTCTCAAGTTGTCCGTGACTCCTTCAATCCATATTCTTCTTGGTCTTCCCCTGCCTCTTGGTGTCTCGATTTTCATGTTGTATGCTCTTGATGCTGGCATCGTTGGTTCCATTTTCATTAGGTGACCAAACCATTTCATTCTTTGCTTCTCAATAAATTTAACGATGGGTATGGTTCCAATAGTTCTTGTAATCACATCGTTTCTCACTCGATCTCTTCTGGTTTTATTCGCAGCCATTCTCAAACATCTCATTTCACAGGTGGTTAGTCTTCTCTCGTGTTCTTTTGTTAATGTCTAAGTCTGACATTGATAACCTAATGTCGGTATAAAGATTGTATTTATAATTTGTCTTTTTATCTCAGCTGGGACAGCAGGATGTTTTAAAATTGGGGCAAGCTGGTATGCGACATTGTTGGCTTGTTGGATTCTTGCTTCGATCTCTCTGTCTATTTTACCATTGAATGAAAAGATACTTACCAAGTATTTAAATTCTTGCACTTGTTTTAGGCTGTGATCTAGAATCTTTATGTCGATGGTCTGTTGCTCTCTACTTATGCTCATGACTTCTGTCTTTTCAGTATTGATCTTCATATGATGCTTGAGGCAACTGTCGTGTAGTAGGTTTATGTGGTCTTGCAGCTGCTTACTATCACTGTGAAATAGGCATTGATCGTCGGCAAAGAGCAGCTCATGAAAGTCCTCCTGTTTATCGACATCTGTTGGTGTTATGTCTATTTTATTAATATTGTCGACAAATATTATGAAAAGTAAAAGTGATAATACACAACCTTGTCTTACTCCTGATGTTACTGGGAACCAGTCTGTGATGCCAGCTCTTGTTCTAATGGCGCTTTCACTTTGTCTATAAATAGCCCTAACACAATCTAAAATTGTTCCATTTATACCGTAGTTTTCAAGAACTTTCCATAATAAATTTCTGTTTACTCTATCGAAAGCTTTTTCTTGATCTATGAAAGCGATGTTCATTTGATATCTGTGTTCTATTGTCTTTTCGCTAACTTGTCTTAAAGCAAAAATAGCGTCAGTACACCCTCTTCCTTTCCTAAATCCGACCTGTGATGGGCTCAGGATCGGTTCTACAACTGATCTAATTCGTTGTTCCAGAATTTTGGCAAACATTTTTCCTATGTGGCTTAGAAGGGAGATGCTTCTGTAATTGTTACAATCTTGCTTATTGCCTTTTCTTTTCCAAATTGGGTCTATAAGGGCTCTTTGCCAGTCTATTGGTACAGTTCTTTCATTCCAGGCTTTCCTAAATATGTGGAGTAGCCAGGTGACTCCAGTTTCTCCACAAGCCTGTATTGCCTCGGCTGATATTCCATCAACACCTGATGCCTTATTTTTGGGACTGCATCTGATTGCTTCTCTGACTTCTTGTTCGATTATTGTAGTCTGTTCCTCGTTTGTACATCTGGGTGTGAATGGTACTGTTTCCTCATTTCCTGTTACATTCAGAAGAGTCTGAAAATATTCTTTCCACCTTCCTCTGATCTTGCCCTCCTTATGTATGGTACTCACTTCAAAGTGTATAAAAAGTTGTCCAGACTCACCTTAAAGTGTCTAAAAGCTGCCTAAGCTCACCAAAAAGTGTCTAATAGGTGTCCGTGTCCACCACAAAGTGTCTGAAAGGTGCCTGTGCTCACCACAGTGTGTCTATTACAGCAGGTTTGGGAAAACAATGGTGCCAAGAAAATGTCCCGGTACTATGTCCAAAGGCAAAAATATAGTATAGACCCTCAGGCATCTATAATTAATTAATGCATGACAAGCTAGGTGTTGTAAGGGTCCCGTGGGGGCGAGTGAATGGCGCTGAGGCACAGATATGTCATCAAGGTCTGAAGAAGATGAGACGGATATACAATCAGACTGCTTCTGCTACCACTTGAATTGGAACCCTGCCCTTGCTGCTGAAGATTGGGACGAGGCGCTAATGGGAATGTCCCAAATGCTGTGATGTCGATTCTTAATTAAACATTAAAGCATCTGGAACCAAACAGTTCTATCCATTGTTCCTTTTATAAGTTGTATAATGTTAGATCCTAGTAGTTGGAATTCATGTCCTGTCCCTCACAGGGCTGCAGGTGATACCTGGTCCTTGTAGCCATTACGGATACCCTCATTATAATAAGGTCTATGCTAGGGCTGACAGATGTAAAGGCTAGACTGGCACTGGCACAAGCCAGTACACACATGCAAGTTACCAACGTTAAAAGAAGTGAGTTATCAATGATGAAAGACATCCTCTGCGTGGCAATCTGAAAGATTTTGAGAGGCGATTGGTTAAAAAGAGAAAGGACATAGATTGCTCAGGTTGAAGATATCATCGAGTTGGTGGTCAGTCGAGCAAATACACAGGGGTTGGAATAGGTTCAACTGACATACAGCAGTTTCAAACAGGTCATTATCACATTATGAATAGAGGTAGAGAGTGGTATAACGGGATTGCAGAATTAGAGGTACAACAACTGACAGGTGAAAACTCTGGGCTAGATGATGCACCGATATTTATATTCATCGGGGTGAAAGATCAGACTGGGGATTTTCAACCTAAACCTCAGCCTCATGCTTGAATTTGTGGATAAAACAAGCACCGTTTTGTGCTGCAACACTCTTTCCCTTCACTGTAGGCAGTCACTGCAACTTCGAAGTGGATGGCAGAAGAAGAAAAAAGAGTACCCTCGGAATTATTGTGACTGATGCTCAGTGGACACTGCGGAATGTTGAAAATGGACAAATGTGCCATAACTGGATACTGAGTACCAGCACGTCAACGGTAGGTACAAAAATGGACCGAGCCGACATTCTCAGTGCTCTCAAGGAAGCAGGACGAGAAGATGATTCAGGAGACGAACTTGAATTGACCTCTAATTACAGAGCAGAGGCAGAAGCACTTCTGGCGACATGTTCTTTCCTGAATGGACAACAGCAAAGCAAATATAGCAGAGTGGTCTTTCTGACTGATGCTATGTCAGTTCTACAAGCAATTGTTAATTTAAAAAGACACTCAGTTTGTAGACTTGTCGCAACAGCTGATTTGCTTAGGCTCTTCAGTAGAACAATCCGTACTGAGTGTGGATTCCAGGTCACTGTGGCTTGGAAGACAATGAAATAGCGGGCCGATTGGCCTGAAGTGGCAATGACATAGTACAACCAAATAGTGACTTAACCCCCCCCCCCCCCCCCCCCCCACCCCAAAATACGAAAACAATAATACAAACTAGTATCCAAGAAAGGTGGCTGGATACACACACCAGAGTCACTCCCCAAGACTCGTTTCATCGCCTTTCTAGAGAGGAACAGTGTATTATATTCAGACTAAAGACTGGGCACGACAGACTTCGTCAACATGTGTTCACATTTTTCGCTGCAGGAAACACGGAGACGTGTCCCTGCAGCGTGGCACCTGAAAATGCTGAGCATGTACTCCAACACTGTCAACTGTATGCTGACAACAGAGATGCAATCTGGCCTGTTCCAACCACAATGAAGACAAAACTGTATAGTACACGAGAGGATATGGACTGTACGATAGTTTTTATAAAGGCTACCGGCCTCCTGATATAAGTTTTCTGACAGAAGGATCGAAGAAGAAGAAGAAGAAGAAGAAGAAGAAGAAGAAGAAGAAGAAGAAGAAGAAAAAGAAGAAGAAGAAGAAGAAGAAGAAGAAGAAGAAGAAAAGACTACAACTTCAGGTCAAAAGAGGTGTCGCCAAACATGAACACTATACTGGTAGCCAAAGAAGAATAGTAAACCAACACCGAACTGGTGTTATCAGTCGCCACACAATGGGGGATATACTAAAGATGGGATCCCAGCGCTTGTGGACCTCGATTAACTATTAAGGTCAACATTACAGGGACTCTCACTGATGTACTGTTTGGAAGATGAAGGAATGCCAGGAAATAAAAGAGCATATTTTCTGGCTACACAAAAGGTAGAAACATGAACACTCGTACTGGACAAGGGAGAAATTCTAAAGACCGTTTATGAACGAATGTTGATAGAAGATACGAGGTCGGAGTTGAGTTGAGTTGAACCAAGAACTGACATCACTGCAGTCAGAGCATTCCCATATGCCCTCCGTCATCATTTTCAGCTGCCAGGGAAGAGTTCCAATACTAATGGTACCGGTTGTAGTCTGGGTATATGTCAGTCTTGCCTTTCCTCTGAGTGTAGTGAGCCGACCAGACTCTTTGGTTACACTGAGGTACATCATTCTCTCCAGGCTATAATAAAATAGTTTCTCTTCTGACTTCGTTACTTGTTCCCAAAGTGCATTGACAACATTTGCCTTGTCATGCATCAATTCACCACCCAGTAGTGCAGATCCAGCCAATCTGACTGCCTGTTCATTACCCACCACGCCAGCATGGCCTGGAGAAAAGATCCAAAGTATGCACACTACCCTTGACTTTACTAGTGAAGCTTGCCACTCTGCTCAAAGCATTCCTGTCTTCACCTTTCTCAGCATGCTTTCAGAGTATGTTACAGTTATGACATGTGTAGGCATCTCGTTCTCTAGCCACCG